ATTTATGGTAGAGCATGGCAAATTGCAAAACAACTCCTTCCTTCAATAAGCTTTCTAGCTGGTATACACTTTCCTTCAACCAGAATGCCGAAACTTTATGCAACATGGGGAAAAAAAGTGGTGGATTACAACGAGGGAATGGGGCTAATCTAGTAATTCAGCTTTTTGTGCTGGACAAATTTGATTTTCTACCTTTAACTAAATCAAAAACCACAAAGCACTCAAAAGAAAAATTCCACTTAAATTGGTTGGTTACTATGTTTATTGTCTCTTTTTCGTCTATTTTGTTTCATTTTTACATTGGCGTTTTTTATTAGGTTAGAGTTGAGTTTTATAACTTCTGTATTGAAATTTTTTCTTTTTTTTTCGTTAGTGTAGATATTTTGTTCAATTTTTCTGCTTAGGTTATTCTATGTTTATTGTTTCTTTTGTATGTGTTTTGTTTAAATTTTCTTTCTTTTCTTACTTTTTAATAAATTAAAATTATATATTAATTATACATTTTAGTATTATATGAAATTACTATATAATAATAAAATATGTGTAATATTAATATTATTTACATAAATGTATGTAATATATATGAAAAAATATATGAAAAGAAAATATAATTTTTGTTAATATTATTAAGCTGATTTGTTTGCAGTTCAACCGGATTGTTTTACCGTACGAAAAGAAATGAAAATAAAGGAGGGCCAAAATAAAGCAAGTTCCTTTTTATTCAGTACTCTCCCACATTATCACAACTTTTATAGAGTGCCCCGACGCAGAAATGAAATTACAATTTAATGTTATACTCTTTTCTTCTTTGAGATCGGAGACTAAAAAGCGTAACTTGACTCAGTTAAGAACATCAATTCTGAATTTTCATTACTATGGTGTACGAAAGAAGGGGAGTTGCTAACGCAATTTACCAACTTACAAATAGCCGATAAAGGCGAAAAATTTCACTGTTAAAACTTATTTTGTATTCGAGATGATGATCGTAAAACGTTCTTTTTCTTAAACTTTTAATAGTGTTTTCCGAACCATTTAAAATATAACTGAAAGATGTGTGTGTGTGTATGTGTGCGTGTGTGTGTGTGTGTGTGTGTGTGTGTGTGTGTGTGTGTGTGTGTGTGTGAAAACGTGTGGTGTTTATGCACGATAAAGAACATGTTTTTCTGAACCCACATCACACCAGACCGCATCTCGCGGGCTCTAAATAATCATAATTGAAATGTACGGTAATCAGGGAAAATTAAAAGGTCGTAAATATTTCAGGTCAATGTTAAAAGTTATGCACGGACAATGGTGTTGATTAATTGGAGAAATTCTGGAGTTTTAATTTTTTATTTCAGCAAGATAGCAATTCGTGCTATTCCATAACCCCTCATAGTGATTTGGCAAAAGTTTTGCATTCAAAATAAAATAAAAAATGAAAGTACTGGAGTTTCTTCAATAAATCAACACCATTGTCTATGGATGAAAAATAACCACACAAGACAACACACCAAGAACTCATAAGAAAGAAAGGCAGTTTGTTTTTTAAAAAAGTGTAACAAATTTTAAGAAAACGTGTTCATGTTTCAAATTCCCGTTTGCCTGTAGCAGTAAGAGTCTCTTTGAATTGTTTTCTTTACATTGTAGTTCAGATTAGGAATGTTCCTATTTGAGTAATTTATGAATCTCCTGGGTTGCTTCATACCTCCTGCTTTTGACCGGTGCTTGAGTATTTCTTTATCAAGTCATTTTTCCATCGTCGATTGTTTGACTCGTTGGTCAGTCTGTACGTTTCTTTCTATACCTTCATGCCATGGAACCTACCTGAAGTAAACTTCTTGTATTTAACAGGGCAATTAGACAATTTAACCACTCCCAGTATATGCTGAACCAGCAACATCCACGCAACATCGAGCATTGGTATAAGACTAGTTTCGAGATAAAAGCAAACGCATGTGGTTTTATGGCTACCTAACTGTCCGAAAGTATGTAAATCGGGGCATTTTACTTTCAGTTTTATCAACATCTATACACAGAGTTGGGTTACTGAAATAATTATTCCAAGGGGTTTGGTCAGGTGCAATTACCCTGCCACCTACTCGCTGTTTGATCTTGGGGTTTGTCAAATTCAATTTAACTCTCCTTTCGTCAGATACTGTGATTTCCATTGCATTTATTTTAAATCACTAGCGACTTTTGTGATGACTCTGATGCTTCCCTTTTGCTCCAGTGTCTATCTGTAATTTGGAATTATTGTACATAAGAGTTAGGTTATCAGAAAAAGTGCGGTATCAACCGCAGTTGAGGGACAAGTATTCATTTCCGCGTTATTTTAAGAAACACTAGTCTTTAGAGACTTTGCAGTTTGTTTTGTGTCTTACCTAGCAGTCGTTTTTGTTTGTTTCGACAAAAAAAAATTATATCCAATTTTTTTTTTGAGACAATAAAGTTGGACTTGCACAAATGTTTTCATAATGTTTGAAAACTATATATTTGATCAATGGAGAAAAGAAGAATTCACATAATTTGCTTGTGGTGCAAAAAAATGTCGTCATGAAAATGCAAATATCGCTGAAATCAGAATTTTGCCGGAACCGGCTTATCCACCTTACCGTACCCATATTTTCTCATTTCCAGCGTATGACATATTGTTACGGAAATAACGTACTTTTAATTCCAATGATGTACTTATTTGCATACATAAATGTTGATTTAATTGGTAAACATTTCTAAAATATACTGCAAATGAACAATTTCAATGGGAATTTTTAAAAATATATACATTCATTGCAGCTTATTTTTTACTAAATAATTTTTTTATACAATGATATTCAACATTTACAGTATTATATTACCGTTATAGATTTAATGTTATTTTTGACTGTTAGAATGTCCGTAGTATAAATCAAATGTGCGACAAGTATTAAAAAAAGTTATTTGATAATGATAACCGCTTTCATTTATAACACACTGAATAAATAATGAAAAATAAAGATCCATCTATAATTCTTGAAAGCAAAAATGTTTCCTCTCGACCAAAAATAGATAACCTTGGAATAACCCTTAATGGGCTGTTATTAGGGATCAATCTTCCAGCCTATCACCACATCAGATAGACAAAGTTTCGACCAGCCCCAAGTGATTTAAAGGAGCTATTATGTTCACAGGGATTGTTTCAAGTATCTGTTTTCGCCCTAACTTTATCAGAACTTTAGTAAATATTTAGCAATTAATTAGACAACTTCCGCTTTTTTTATTAGCGAGAGTAAATTATTATATATCCCAATTGTATATTTAAATTTGATTTATCCTTTGTGTTTGAACTATTAATGGTGTGGAATGTAGTCAAGTAGTCCTTTGTGTTTATTTTTATTTTTTATCTTAAAAGTTGATTACATCTTGTTCTTAAAATGATTTAAAGTATGAATAACACACACTTAAATTTGCAAGTTTCCGATCTTTTTGGTGCCTTCGCTCTTTTGTTCTGTCATACGCGTTTCGGCTTCTCACCATTTTCAGTGTTGGGTCTGTGTGTTACATGTTCATAGAAATTTCTAAATTCAATCAACAGAATTTATTATACACACAAGTTAAATATTTACACACAAATCCCGTCTGGCAGAAAAAACTTATTAAAATAATATGAAACGACCAACTTCCAGGTTAATAACTCAACAGAATCAAGAGGAAATTACCCGAAAAGCAAACTAATAGCTAAACCTAATTAAAAAGCATAAAAAAAGAGATTTACATAATGTTTATATATACTACCGTGATTTTAATAAAAACAATTTTGAATAATATCTAAAAAATTTCTTGTAATATTAATTAAGAAAAAAATAATAACAAACAGACATAATTATGAAAAAAGAGTTAATGCTTATCTCTCTGTACATTAAATACCGAACCGACATACCAGTCGTAGATACCCTTTAATTAAAACCTGGTTTCAATAAATTTGGCGGTTTGAATTACAATACTTCAATTAGTTGACCGTCGGACCCCCATTTCCCAAATAAAAAATGCTTTCTCTTTATTAACATCCATGTTCTGGTTCGAATTCACCGAACGGAACAACTTTGCGGTCGGGATATGAACACACTCGCATTCCTTGGATTACCCGTTATAACCGAGTGGCACCCGAAGAATCAGTTTCAATTATATTATGCTTACGGCCGACTATGCCGAGTGTGGAATTCGCGTTTAATGTTCCCAATAGGCTTAGGTTCAAATATGAAGCTATGCCATATTTCTACCTTGCGACATTTGCTATCCATTAAAGATTTAATATTTCTCGTCATATCGTTGTATTAACCGTCAGATCTATAATTCAAATACATATATTTTTAAAACATCTTATTAATAATTTTGTGTGGTGGTTAGTAACCGTTAGTTAATGTTTGGAGATTGTGAGACTCGGTCTGGTGTGTCGTAGGTTTTAGAAAAACAACGTGCCAACGTTTCGATCTTTATTGAGATCATCTTCAGGGCTCAAAGTGTTTGTTTTCTGTGTATATGTGTTATTATTGGGCGCTATCAACACGACCCCCAATAATGACACATCTACACCGAAAACAAACACTTTGAGCCCTGAAGATGATCTCAATAAAGATCGAAACGATGGCACGTTGTTTTTCTAAAATCTACGACACACCAGACCGAGTCTCACAATCTCCGAATAATCATTAGTAATTATGTAACTGTAGTAGTTTAACTTTATTTAAATAACTTTCTTAACAGAATGTTCCTTATGTGTGTATTTTTAAATTTACAAATATATACAGGAAATGAAAGTTTAAAAAAACAAATTAATTCCAACAGTTTACACATTTAAAAAATAGTTTTCTTTTATATTTATATTATTGTTTTATATTTATATAATTTTTATTTTATATGTATATGATTATATTATTTATATATATTTTATAATTTTCGAATTTCATATAATCGCTATTTTCTACTTATAAATTTATAATAAAAATATCCATGCGATAAAAAATAACTTTTCTCTTTTACAGAACCTGAAAGACCAGATCCTCACAACAAACGTTTGGCTCGAGCATGTAAGTATAGTTGTTTTTTATAGTTTGACAATGTAGATGTAGTAAGTAATCAATAAGACAGCCAAGTAATCAAGCATATTTTTTTTTATAAAACATAAATATTTAAAATAGTTGATTCGTCCGTACAAACGTTTTGTTTGAACTTACCCTCATTAATCTCTTGTTTTAGTGTAGTAGTTAATACCGTTTGTTGATTAGTTATTTATTATGAACTGACAGACTTAACACACACCTGACGTTACTCTTATTTCTTGAGTTCCTAATATAATTGTTTATGCACATATATTTTCCAACTTGGTTAATAATTGTTTATGAGTAGAAAATATTTTTCTAAAAATTCTTCAAGAACCCCTTTTTTCAGAAGATTTAATTTTCAATTTATAACTCTGAGTTCAGCATCGGTGAGCTTTTAAATGAGATGACTATTGTGCTTTTTCGCTACTTGTATTATTGTAAAAATAACTACGGTTCCAAAGGTAAGTTTTCCGTAGAATCTGTTGGTAAATATTATTAGATTTTAACTTTAATAAGTGGTGAATGGACTGGTCTGTGGCGGAATATAGAGTGCCCCTTAAACTATTTAGGTCTATTTGTATAGGGATGAGTAATGATAGGATGGCAATACCCCGGTGTCTCCCCAATTGTTAATTGTACATACGTTTGAAAAGTTTTATATGTCAGAATATTTGCATGAATGGTTAACTGTACGGACGGATCTGTGGTGGAATATAGAATACTCCGCTGACCTGACAAATTAGTTAGGTAAGGTATAATATTTTACTCCCAGTGTGAGTTTGTAAATACATGTTACTGCAATATTGATTGAATTAGATACATGCTCGATGTACATTTTAGCAGAATGTATGACCATAGATGTGTAGGAAAAAGCTCAGAAAAAGGGGGTATGCTGAGTAATGTCGGCTATGACCCTATGCCGGTAAAAAAAAAGTGGACGGGTTAAGCAGACCTGGGTTATCTACTATTTTCAAATGTAATTGCGCTATTTTTCTCATATTTTTTAACTTCTTTCCCTTCTAAAATATTAATACCAGAAACTCAAAAATTCATTGTTTTTTCCAAAAATATTAAATTTTCTTTCAGAACTCAATAATTTCAATTTACGCTGTAATTTGTTGAAAAAAGCAAAATTTAAAATTGAATTGAAAAATATGAGCATTTTATTTGTGTCGATTTTGTAAACATTAAACGATAAATTAAAATTATTGAGTTCTGAAGAAAAATTTCAGTATCTCGAAAAAGAATCGACGGATTTTGGAATAGTTTCCAGGAACATTAGTTTAGAATTGAATAGACTTTAATCCAAAAATATAAAGCAATTATCTATAGCAGTAACTACATTATTTTTATTCAACAAATTGTACAATTTTTTTGTTAATGTGATTTTTAAGTGGTCGGTTGTTTAGTAATTTGTTCAATTATAATCCATCCAATAATTAAAAATAATTTTTGTTAATGACAATTAATTAAGGTTTTTAGTTGAGTTGAAAAAAAGCTAATGGCACGAGAGGGATTCGAACCCACGATCCATGAAAAATGGCAAAAGGAGGGGTTGAGTTGATGTCCGAGTGGATCGAGGTCACGATAGCTCAGGTGGTAGAGCAGCGGCGTATCTAGCCGAAGGTCGTGGGTTCGAATCCCTCTCGTGCCATNCACTTGAGATTAATTTGAAAAATGGCAAAAAAAGAGGGAAAATTCGAAAGGTTGCAGGTTGTGATGGGGAGTTGATGTCCGAGTGGATCGAGGTCACGGTAGCTCAGGTGGTAGAGCAGCGGCGTATCTAGCCGAAGGTCGTGGGTTCGAATCCCTCTCGTGCCATTAACTTTTTTTCATCTTAACTAAAAACCTTAATTAATTGTCATATATTAATTGGTCAAGCGGACCAGGAAAGTAGTGAATTAATTTTTGTTAATATTTAAATAATTAGTTGTTAAAAAAAATTACTACAAAGACTAATCAAAAATTTTTCCCTATCTAACATTAATTATTTAACAGGCAACAAAGAACAGTAACAATTGAGATCATTAAACAAGCCAATAGATATACAAGCCTACAAGAAAATTGTGTAGATAAATAATGGCCCGTTCACTCATGAGAATACACTAAGGTACACAAATAATGGAATAATTTATTAATCGAATTCCTTCTCCAATTTCCTCCTAATTGATTGCACATTGTAGCAACAGAACACTTCCCATCAATTGCTGTTTAGTACATCAATCATATCAAGTAATTAGTCGATAGTTTAAACAGTGGATGAAGGTTCCACCTAACTACAGCCCACGATAGCGGACAACGTTGTCAAAATCGTAATTTACTAGAAAGAGAGCAGAAGATTTATAAATTGTTAGATGAATGCGCCATATTATAAACCACTGCTAAGAAGTACATGTGACCCTGTAAATTTCAGTGATTGGTGTTCATCAGCATTTTGAAAATCAGAAGCGATGTGGAAAAGAAAATATGAATTTATACAATGCTAGAAAACTTTAGATTTAAAAAATGACACATCTACGCGGAAAACAAACACTTTGGTGAGTACGAATACTTTGATTGAATCTAAAATTTTCTAGCATTGTATAAATTCATTGTTGTTAATCTAAAATTTTCTAGCATTGTATAAATTGAGAATTTTTTTCCACATCCTACATGTATTTGTAAAATTCAAACAATGTTTATAAATCCCAGGCTTTGAAGATATCTCAATAAAGATCGAAATGTTGGCATGATAAAGAAAATGTTTTTCTAAAGCCTACGTCATACCATACCGCACCTCACGATCTCCAAATAATCTAAATTCTAAAGTACGAAAGCTAAACCAAAACAGTGTTCAAAACTGTGCAAAGGGTAGATCAACATCCAAAAAACATGCTCATCAGAATTCCTTCTTGACAGAATGAACAATAGTATCCAAAACAGGATGGCACTGTTTTAAAACAAAATGGTGCTATCCATATTTCTTGTTCAGGATAATTTTCAAAGGTTTGAGGATGAAATGCGTTTGGCTTTAAAGAAATTTATCCAATTTTTTTACAAAAATTGATAATAAACTTATAAGGCGGTAGGAATTTTCAAGGTGAGGATGGTTAGGTTGAAAGATTAGACGAAAGAAAAGAACTTTCTTTAATATAATAAAATGTTATATATAAGTGCGGGAGGGGGGGATATAAGGGAAATAAGTGCGCGGAGGGTTGCGCTATGTAAATTGATTAAGACAACCGTTGATTTTTGTGATAGTTCACGAAGTATTGAAACTAATAAGATCGAATCTAGAAATTTTTTTAAAAAGTAGGATTATAATAGCATTATCATGAAGGACCATAATAATCTGAAGAAGTAAAATGTTTTGTAATTTTGATATATGTTATAACTATTTATATATAAAAAATATTAAGAAATGCGGGTTTAGTTTGCTCAAAGGAAATGGGTGTCACCACACGTCAGGGTGATCCGACTCTGCTCTGGGTTCAAATCCCGGTATTATCCATGAAATTTGAATTAAGACTGCAAAACGTGTTGAAAATTGGTTTAATTCCTTGTCCGTGTTAACCAATGGGTAGTTAGACATTAAGCATTTCTGGATGGCAGGATCTACTAGGTCCGTAATCCCTTATCTTCCCACAGTGATGGAGATGCCATAAATTATATCGTCTTCACATTTAATCTTTCAATAGGATTTTTTATGATAATTTGATAGTGGTAAAACAACATTTTTCAACAATAAAATTAAAACAGACAATCAGACGTTATTTTAATGTGTATAATTTATTGTCTACTCCTCTCCAAAGGAAAGTCGTCCCGTTTCCTTCAAAATAGGTTTATGCAAAGATCGGTGGGCTAGGCTGAAATTTATAGCCCCACCCCACAAGCCTTTGATAGAGTCCTTAAACAACAAAAGGTTTTTTAATTTTCCGCTTATTGTACACGAACGAAGAATATAAAACTGAAATAGTGGCCGAAGGACTCCGCCTGAAGTTATTTGTTTACAACGGCCCGACGGCAATTTTGTTAAGAGGGTTCCCCCGACCTGGAACTAAATTCGCCACCATGGGCTGAGGTGCTTTGTTTTCAATAAAAGGTCTCTGGAACGTGTGATTGGGAAAATCACGTCTTCGCCACAGCACTTACACACTCAGCTCCATTCCAGCCTTGCACGTGACGTGGCCATACAAACTAATTACATCCCTTTCTACATTGTGGTTCCCTTTCATGCCTTTCACATTTTACTTCCATTGTTTTAAATATATCATTTGAGATTTTTTATCCATAATGTGATAAAAGGTTTAAATTAAAATATTAAAATCTCAATCTCTCCATCTTTCAGACTTGTAAATTCTAACTTCAGCCAGATGGAGGTGATATTCAGATGTGAGCCGCGTGTTATTTTGTCAGTTCGGTTAAGTGTTTTGGTTACGTTTTTTTATGTTGACGTTTTTGATTAATGAAAGAACGATTATTCCGGCGTTTGTTACTTCCTGTACTTTTCCTTCTTCCTGCGAGGCGATGAAGGACATATCGAATCTAGTCGCTCTTCAATTTTAGCAGTCAAGAGAAGTACACAACAAAAAAAACTGCTACTACTCTGTGCTTTTCCTGCAAAGATTGATTTACTTTCTGCAGACAAGTGGAGTATATTAAAGATTACAAAATAACAATATAATTGCTACTTGGAAATTTTTCTGCGTACTTTGCAGCGAAGTGATGTACGATATGCATGTCAACTTGTAATCTAGATCCTAGAAGGCAGCTTCATTTTTCAGAAGACATGTTGGAGACTATTAAAAAATAGAAAATAACCATCTAATTGCCGTATTGTCTATACTTTTTCTGCATAATCCGCAGGTAACAATGTAGGATTTAGTCTGGACTCTCTAGACTCTAGACAGCTTCATTTTTCTTGATATGAGGAGTAAAAGTGAATTTCTTATCAAGCATCGACCTGAGTATTTGCTAGAGATAGGCCTAGAGCACGTCCAGAACCAAAAATATTAAATAGCGTTGTTTTTAAAGAACATTATGTGTATCAATCATTATTGCAATGTTAATATGAATCCTTGTGTATATTTTTCTTAAACTTTCGACTCTTCAAATAAAAAAATTTAAAAGTCGTACCAATATTAATTATTGCATCAAGAAAAGAGTTCATAATATTTTTCCTGTGAATTTATACAAAATACTACATATATAAAAATATGCGTAAAAAGTGAAATAATGAGAATGTTTTTAACTTGAAAATCAAATAAGTAAAAACAAGGAGTGTTTTTCAGTTATGGTTCTAATATGTGCATTAGTCAGTCGCATGTGAAAACCGTATCATCTTTTCGCCATTAATCTAATAATATAAATTAACCGACGTTGACATGGATTTAATGCTTTCCTACATCAACATTGTACCTCAAGGATTGCAATTAATAATGAAAAGGAGTAGGCATCGTTTTGTCTTTGTCAGAGATACCGCATTTAAATTAAATCATTCTCCATTAAGGGAATCTCAAGAAGGGCTTCCTGGATTTTCGCTGTTCTTATGCACTTGGTGGTTAAAACTGCAAGTGGTTTCTTGTGGACTGTTGTTGGTTTGACCCCGACACCGGAACTACGAGAGTGTTGGAGTAATCTTTAACAGATAAGAACCACTGTATAATCCTTTTCTAACCGAAAACCCTTATCCATTCCTCTCTATCTTACGGGTTCCGTTAAGTTAACGTACAATTAATTATACCTGCCCTAGACGATGAGTCAGTATTCCAGGCTGAAAGATTATATAAATTACATTTAAAAAAATAACAAATATAATTATTTATTACGTAAAAATAAAAAACAATCCAAGTAAAACACTTCAAATTGTCATTAGTTTCATAAAGGCATATTGTTTCAATCATCCTCAAAAATATAGCCACATTTCTTTTACGATTTCGTTCTTTTTTTACAAAATTTATTGTTTAAGATCAAGCAAAGTAAATATATGTATTTTGTTTGCATCATATAAAATTAAGCATCAATCGATTCATAGATAAAGTATTAAGTTATATAATTATATAATATAGGATTTAAATTGCATTTAAACTTTTTTCTTTGCATTTTCTGCGAAGAAGAAAAAGTTTTCTTTCAATCATACTGCCGTCCAATTAATCTATTACTCATAATGGCTAAAATCCTAGAAAGAAAAACTTCTATTTAAACACATTTTCTCCATCTTTCCCTTAAGCTCATTTCACAACCAGTTTGGGTTCAGATGTCGTCATTGCTATCGCGTGGGAAACACTTCACTACCGCTCCTGAGGAAAAGGAAGCTACTCAGATATATGTCTGATTCTCAAACCCTACTTGAACGACAGATACATTCATCAGTGGCTCTCTCTATTAGCCGACTATCGAAAAATTGCAGGGTACCCCAAGGTATTATCTTAGGGTTCATCCTCTACATATACACCACAGACATCCCCACTTTTAAACTATCCTTCCCACCTTGCAGGCATTGCTACACTTGGTCTCATAAAGGTAATGCAATCTCAATCAGGAATCTGTAAAGCCGTGTCAATTGAGCGGTTCAAGCGGTGAAAAATATGAACATGTCACTTTTATCCTACGAATCCGACGAAGGATAACATCTGATCCAATCTACTGCAATGGAACTCCGCTCTCACCTGCTAATGAAGTCCGCGATCTTGGGCTATGTGGAACTTTCAAAATACAAGATCATCCCCATAATGACTGCTAGACAAACGATCAAAACTGATTACAAAACAAACAACCTAACTGAGACCCCATTAGATTTTTTTTGTCATAAAACTTTGAAGTTCAAACAAACGTCCTAACCAAGCCATTGTCACTCGTTCATGTATCGTATCTAATCGTACCATTTTCAATGATCATCGTTCAAATAGAAAAAAAATGTTACAAAAAGTTTCATAAACAATTATCCTGTCACACTCATTGAGAAACTTTTCATCCCGCACCCTAACCAGATAATCCTTCCCGACGATTGAAGGATCATACCTCCTACGAGATAGTGAGAGAACGCAGGAGTGACAAGTATTACGTAATTCCTCTTCTTTTTATTTATTTTTGTTATCCATTTACGCGTATACGCAAACTGAAATTCAATAAGCGCAGCAATTGACGCGGGTGCAAATAAATAAATTTATATTTAAAAAAATGAACAAAAAGCAAAACATTTGAATGTGACAATTGCACAATTGCCGCACAGTCATAATGCCATGTCTAGATAGATGTTGATCTATTATATCCAGAACACGAAGCAATAAATAACCGAGATTTGCTTTTATTTCCAGCAGTGGGAGGATCATAAATTTCGATGGGAGCCAGCTGAATATGGAGGTGTCACGGAACTGTACGTACCGTCGGAACATATCTGGCTTCCAGATATTGTTCTTTATAACAAGTAGGTACAATTTTTAATATTATTATATTTTTATTTTATTATTTATTTTAATAAATCTCTCATTCTTGAAATAGTTCATCTTGTCAGTCATAATTATTCGAGCTTAATGAAATTTCTCCAAGGAAAACGAACCGGGGAAATGTATAAAATCTCCATAATTCAATATGATGAATCGTTATTCATTGGTTGCAAAAAAACAATAATGAGTTCAAATATAAAGGAGAAGCCAAGAAAAGGTTTGCTTTGGATCATATTTCACTCTCGTCATTAACGAATCGTAATAAGTTTACTAAACCAATCCTGGAGAAACGGTGGGTGCCTATTGTGAACATAAAGACAAAAAGTAAGTATAATAAAGTAAGCACATCATGATAAAGAAACAGAAACGGTCGAGAGGGTAGAACTTCATTTCTTATTCCATAAATGGTATCTCAACGCTAATGTACCAACGCCGGTACGAACACCGCTCTTCGGTTTTATGCCATTAAATACTTTATTGAGGTTAGAGCTGAGTAATATTGACACCATAATAGATGTGGTAAAAACTAAAAGTAGAGTTAGTGACATACTTTATAGTGGTAACACAAATTAACTCAAGGAATAAGAATGTCATGAATCATGATGATAGAATTATTAGTTGCATGTAAATGATAAGATAAATAGCAAGGTGAAGGCTATTCTAATATTATATTATCTATTGTGAATCATCTTTGTTACACTCCTATGCTATTTATGATCAACACATAATCAATCAATAACTGAAACTCATTGCAATTCAAAAATAAAGCAATCGATCGTCAATTCAATTATATTTATTTTTAACCTGTATCACACTGGAAGGTCTTAGAATACATCAAACTGCAACCAATATCTTTTTTGTTGTTGCGTGTTTTCTTTATAGTTTTGTTGTTCCAATCTTCACTGCATATTTGCGTTATGGTTTAAAATGTTCATAGCTTCACGGAATTTATTGAATCATGAATATATAAGTTAACCTACCCCATCTTATGGATGAGGTTTGTCAGAACGATTAAAAAAATAATAAAAAATAAAATTTCAACATCAAATATAGACACGAATATTGTAGTAAATCAATTATATTTAGTGCCTGATTGGCCAAATTACTTCTTTCAATTAATTAATCTTTTTATGTAAGGTTTTGGTTGAAATGAAAAAGTTAGTGTTACGAGCGGGATTCGAACGCACGACCTTCGGCTGAATACGCCGCTGCTCTAACCACTTGAGCTATCGTGACTTCGATTCACTCGGACACAAATTCCCCATCTCAACCCACAGCCTTTTCACTTTTCCCTTCTTTCTGCCATTTTTTAAATGTTGTGTAATCAGGATTCGATTCTCGGTGACATATGAAGTGGCCAGGGTGGTGTTAGTGAAATTTCCCTTCGTTTTCCTTATTAAATCCATTATATTTAGTGGTCTGATCTTTGAACTTAATTCTCTGTTTTGACAGTCAAATTAAATTCTCCTTATTTTTTGTCAGAAGGATTAAAAAATAATAAAAACGTAACATTTCAACATCAAGTATAGACATGAATATTGAACAAAATCCATTATATTTAGTGGTCTGATTGACCAAATTACTTATTTCAATTAATTAATCTTTTTATGTAAATTTTTGGCTGAAAGTAAGGGGAATTTAATTTGACTGTCAAAACAGAGGATTAAGTTCAAAGCGGAAAAAAGAGAATTGAAAGGCGCTACAGCCAACAGTTTGTCATGACTTAGAAGATATGCGGGTTTAGTATACTCATAGAATGTGGGCTATGGTTTGGCCGACCGAGCATATTTATAATCCATATATAAATGATCTTATAATTATTTTAATTAATAAAATTTTATTCTAAGGCCTTGGTTGAGATGAAAAATCAAGTGTCAAGAGAGGATCGAACCTACGACCTTCAGCTGAAGGTGTAATTAGTTATAGTGTATTTATAATGCTCTTATTCAGAGTTCGGATCCCGTCTTAGCCAGTAGAATTTTATCGAGAATAATATGAAAACAAATTATAAAGTGCTTTGACCATTCGTCCGCAAGTAATTTGGTCAATCAGACCACTAAATATAATGGGTTTAATAAGAAAATCAAAGTGTTACTTCACTAACAGCTCCCCTGGCCACTTCTTATGTCGCCGAGAATCGAATCCTAATTACACATTTGAAAAATGGCAGAAAGGAGGGAAAATTCGAAAGGTTGCAGGTTGAGATGGAGAGTTGGTGTTCGAGTGGATCGAAGACACGATATTTCCGAGTGGTTAGAGCAGCGGCGAATTGAGCCGAAGGTCGTGGGTTCAAATCCCACTCGTGATATTAATTTTTCATTTCAACCAAGATCTTACATAAAAAGATTAATTAATTGAAAGAATTATATTGGCTGTTGACTCTTGATAAAAGATCAGCGGATGTTCTACTTGAATGGGAAGCGTGTAAAACTATATGTTTCGCCCACAGAACACCCTTATAAGTACAGAAAAACAACTGCGATTTTGGTTAGCCAATGAGCAGGTTTCTGGATGATCAAAAAATGAAGTTTCAAAGTAATAATAAAAATCAGGTTTGCATCAATTTCAAGCTGTGCTTTTGTACTGTAAAGTTAGATGTTAAATTTAGCAGAGAGAATAGTGTTATTATGTTGAAACGCTGTACTTATAACAAGAGATACCATATTTTTGAAGAACGCCACAACCCTGAAAACCAATTAAAATTACCAAATGTTCACTGTATGAAAAAACTCATAAAACATAAATTTGGCATTCTCCCTGATCTTCAATCAGCCGTTTATTCATTAATGCTGTGCGTAAGAGGGAAGCCAATTAGAAAGCAGTCAAGAGAGGTTAGCGGCCCCATCCATATCCTGAACGTTTTGGCTGACATAAGCCCAAGACCGACCTTCCAGGGTTCTTCCTAGGCAATTAATCGCACACGTAATGTTCATTTATGTTTTTAACCTAATTAACTCAGTCGATATGCAAATAAAGGGAGAAGTAATGTATCTCGGCTCCTGTCAGAACCAGTTACACGCAAATTATTTAGGACTAATGCTGGGAAAAGCGGCCCTGAATAGAAATCACTAACTTCTTCCGTACAAAACCTGTAATAATATCAGAAATAAATAGAAAAAAATGTTTTCTGTAACTATTTTTTTGTGGTTTTGTTTTGTTTTACACACACTTATATTTATCTAAGTGCATAAGAATATCGGAGTGCTGCTAGTCGCACAATTAAACTAAATATTGCGGTTTTATGAGCGCAACATAATGAAAGTCGCAAAACAAAAAAGAAAGAAAGACATATTTACACAATTTTACTACTTGTACCTCTCAATTATTTTCGTGTTACTCTCCTATCTATATATTGCAATTCATTCCGAGTTTAATTTTTTCATTGCGCCTTTTTACCTTCTTCCACTAGTAGCTCAATATAGCTATTTTCACGACTTGCAATAACTAAAAAATCCGTTTAACCTCAGTCTAATCCGGGTCCATGGCTATCAGAACATTGCGAATAAACCCACCATCACACATGGCAATTTTTAGGAAACATTTCATATCGTGTAAGCTCCTTAAAGATTTTTTTGCATGTTTGAGATCCTTACCTTCTGCGAGTCTTTCAACACTTCTCTCTCTCTCTCTCTTTCTCTCTCTCTCTCTCTCTCTCTCTCTCTCTCTCTCTCTCTCTCTCTTTCTCTTTCTCTTTCAAGTACAGAGTGGCTGAATTCTATTACACTATTTACAGGATTGCTGTAAAACCTCATAAATAACCATCAATAAGCCATTCTTTCTTTCGAAATATGTATATTCACTGAAAAATTTTTCAAACCAAATATGCAAATACGATGTCTTCTCTTTTAATTATTTGACGATCTGCTCAAGTTGATTTAAATTTATTTGTTCAACAATACTTTCAAATTACGTAAATAATGTAAGAAATGTCTTTTTGGATGAGAAACAATGAAATGAAGATTATTTGTGCAAATTGAAAATTTATAAAAAAAATCTTAGCGGATTCTCCGCAAGGAAGCATTAATTAATTATTCACAGTTACATTACAACACATTACTTATACATGATTTAATTTCCACCCTTAGAAAAACGAAAAACCCTTAAATAAATTTTTTTTCGGTGGACATTTTTTCTCATCGACGTCCGGTGATCTATATAAGAATTTGAACTATTTCATCCAAATTATTCGTAATAATTCTTACGACCGTTAGAAAATTGAATTTTTCTTTTTATAGTCAATGTCAACATCATTCATATTTATGTAAATAAATTAATAATAAATTTATGTAAAATTTATCAAAAGTAGTTAAACCTAGAGGTCTTCTGTGGTCTACGGAGGCCTCAAAATTGAGGAAAGGGTATGGGACTGCTAGTCAAAGAAACACTTGTCCTTGAAATACAAACTAAATATCTCATGGGTACATCAGTAATAATAATACTTTCAGGCAGGCAGTTCCAAAGACCCTACAGGCCAACAAGATCTCAAAACTTGTCTGGGATTGATTAACGCCCTACTGGGATAAACTGGGATCTTCTAATAGTCTAACGCTAAACTGGTCCCAGGTCTTGACGGAATTAGTCAACGAGGCAGCAGTTATACCTGATAAAAAGGGAGTCTCGAAACAACTCGTAGGCCCAAAATATTTTGTTGCGTATTCAAATGCAATGAATACACATTAAAAGAGAATTGGGAACTTGGGTAACCAAAGTACACAACTAACACTGGATGTGTAAAATAGGCAACAGGCAAGGAAAAATTTGCTCGCAGAAAGAAACCAATGGGAGAAAGAAAAAATCCTTCTCAACAAAAAATAATTAAAATCATTCACTGATGTATTCACAAAACATGTTCCAGTTCTCCAGTTATTATCTTCAATAAATATACCGAAATCCAGTGACCAATGTCGATTATGACCTGAAGAGACAGAGACGACTAAACATATCCAAAGCAAATGCCCTGCATTCGCTAGGAAAACCAAGTACCTGGGAAAACGTTCTTGAGCGTAACAACCTGGATGAAATACAATGTTTTCTACATGAATACAAAGTTTTGGGAAGATTAAAAAAGAATATTTAAAATGATTACTTACCAGTAATCATTCAAAGCAAATAATCCATAACGGAATAAGAAAAAAGGGGGCATGCGTGGCCGCAACAGTTTAGGCGTTGACACGGCGCTCACCACTGTAAGGTAAAGGACCCGGGTTCGAATCCAGTGGTCCTGCATTCGAACCCTAAATTTTTTTTTATTTTCTTGTATGTGTGTTCATATTGGGGGGGGGGGGTATCGTGAAAAAAGGGCCAGAGGCGACGGTGGGAATCGAACCCACGACCGCGTCGTCTATGAGCCGAGAGTCTCTCATGCTAACCACTCGGCTACCGCGGTCCCCTTAAATACATACTTACAATTTTTTTTTTTTTTTTTTTTCAAAAACACCGTCACCCCGAGGGTTGATATAACCTCTGCTGTTGCAAACCCTTGGGAAAAATGTGTATTTGTTTCAAAAGTTTCCTTTTCAAATAAATGCCTCCGATTCTTTCCAAAAATCACAAAACATAATTTTAAAACTACTCCACCAGTGTATAGGAAACTTTGGAGTTTAGAACCCTATAAACTACACGTACGGCCAGAAAATGAGATCTTTCTAATTACATTAGAAGTGGAAATGTTAAACAAAATGTTTGGGGAGTTATTACTAATTTCATCCTTATTTTTCTTACTTATAATGGCATAAAAGCCAAGTTGCTACAGGCTGAAAGGCTTTTAATTTTTTAACAGTTGTAATAGGTAGAATCCGGATAAAATCCTTAGGAGTTATAAATTTTTAAGTGGAACACTGTACGAAAAAATAAATTGCCCCTGGCTAATACATCCCAAAGAGCCGTATTTAAAAGCTTCAAACTGTGTTTAAAATGAATCGCATTTTTAAAGATTTTTTTGCTTATTCTTTTTGTTTTGTAACCTTTTATAGCATGACTAAAATACTGATTGTATAAAACTGCCTTTCATTTAGTTAATAAACTTTTGCATTAAATATTTCCACTAACCTTTCAACAGATAGACAGACAATCTTAGAACTCGAGTAACATAGGATTGTAAATAAGATTACAGAGACGTGAAAATTGTGTTAAATTTTTAAATTCTGTGTTGGTTAAATAAATAACTAGAAAAATGTAATATGGTTCAAAGTGGGAATATTGTTTTAATGGTGTACGTGAAAGCGAAATTGAGTACAAAATTTTGTTCTTTAGTCTTAATAATGTTTTCTAAAAAATTCAAACTTTGTAAAACCTATGACACAATAAGCTTATTTTTCGTTTTATACCAAAGTGTAAAATTATTTAATAAAAATCAATGAAGTTCTAGATGAAATTAGTTGTTGCAGTATGTAAAGGAAAAAAGCTATTGACACGATCATATTGTTTCAGTGCTGATGGTGAATACGTAGTTACGACAATGACGAAAGCAGTGTTGCACTATACAGGAAAGGTTTTGTGGACTCCTCCCGCCATTTTCAAGTCATCATGCGAGATAGACGTCCGTTATTTTCCTTTCGACCAACAGACGTGCTTCATGAAATTTGGATCGTGGAGCTACGACGGAGTCCAGGTAATTTTGTTTGAATAGATTATGCAAATAATTAAAAATGTTCATAGAATCGTATGTAGAAATTGCGCACGGATTTGGTAGGAAGAAAAAAGTAAATTTGGTGGGGAATCCATGCAAAAGTGGCTAAGGAGCCTTAAGACAAATAAGAGATGGTTCAAAATTCAAGGACAACATCTTGATGAAGTATGGAAAGGCTGGAGGGTTACATACAGAAGTTCAAGAGGTGGTTAACGGACAACGGCCTGGATATATCCGATTCCAAATCTGTAGTCTTTCCATTCATTAGGAAAAGAAAAGTAAACTTACCCTTAGGATAGATCATGCAGTATGAACGTTGTTTGTGTAAGTCCCCTATTATGCCCGTGCTAGATTTCGGCTCACTTGCATACAAGTTTCTAAAACTGATCTAAAGAAGGTTAGCACGTTTATAAATAAGTGTTTACGGAGAATCTTCGAAGCACTGCCCAGTACACCAGTGGCTGCTCTGTTTACTGAGAGAACAGAACACTTTCCTAGCATCAGAATAGCTAAACCGGCTGTTAAAGTAATAAATCTACATTATTAAGATAGCTTCAGTTTACGAAAAATTGAGGCATTTAACCGAGTTAGTCTCACAGAAACTGGTTAAAAAAGAAACTTCCCTCAGTTGTGAAAGCGTCTCATACCATGGTACGGTGTATTTTCTGTATAGAAAAATAAACTTTCACCCACCCACCCTCCAGACTATCCAAAAGCCATTAGCACTCCTGCGACACTGGTTCAAAGACTACTCCGGATATCTCCCCTCATATAGCTAACTCTCTATTCCAAGCAGAAGTGTCCGAATAGACTTCCGGAACACCATCTAATTTTCACTGGTGGGTCCATTCCAAATGGGAGAGGAGGATGCGCCCTCTTCGACCTTTGCATGATCATTCAATAAAAATCTCTTTGCCAAGCTCAGTTTCTATCTTTACTGCAGAAACGAACGCACCCACTGTAGCAGTAGATTATCTGGCCGACTTAGAGGGCACACAATTTTGCGTTAATCGATAGCAGAACCTAAATAACCCAACCATAACATGTCAAGCCCAATTCAAACTGCGACTTCTTAACTGCAGATCTCGTGATTAAGGCTTACAATCTTAAAATTTCAAAGAGGAAAGTAGTATTTTGCTGGACTAGAGGAGGCGGTATAGGGGGTAATGAGGATCGTTAGCAAAAAATAGCACAATAGTGTCAAATTTCGGCGACTTCTGCAATACTAAACTCCCAAAATCAGATTCAAAACAATCTCAAAACACGAAATGGTTTGAGGATTGGCAAACCTGATCCACCAAGGTAATGCGGGTTCATTTTATCAATCCATATTCCCTCATTTGCGCTCAGCTCCATGGTTTCAAAAAGTAGACAGAACCAAAAACTTTGTTTGGACGCTCATCAGAATTTGGACAAACGACGTCATATACGGGTCTTGTCTAAATCGAATTGGTCTCATTATCAAGCCTTCGCTCAACTTGCGAGAACATAAAACATCCTTTTTTTCTGTGTGGAACATGAGAAACGAAAAGAAGTATTCTTGGATGGCATGTCGCGAAGCCATACAGCTTTGAATCAATGTTATCTAAAAATGAGTGGGCGTACAACCTAATTTTCAAATTCCTGCAAGATTGCAAAATTGAAATTTAACAACAAAATTATATTCAACAAAAATAAATAAAAACATGCTCCTTCGGTATTGTTGTCATAAACTTTGTTATTAGTGTTATTTTTAATGTTAGTATTATAGTAGCAATTATGATAATATTAAAAATCTGTTTCTAAAATTATTATAATGCAGTGTATAATGAGTTTCAATTGTATTGTAGAGGAGGTGTAATGTATATTGTTGTAGAAATGTATAATATCGTATTGTTATTATATAAGAATTATTATAGTGTAGTTGAGCCACCTCATATTGTATTGTATTGTTGTAAAAATTACTATTTATATATTCACTAGTTTCGTGGTCCACTTGACCAATTAATATCTTTCAATTAATTTATATAATTTTCAATTTATTATAGTTATCACCCTATCAATAATCTGTTTAGTAGTGTATTGTAGTGGTGAATTATCTTGTTAATTTCAATTAATTAATCTTTATGTAAGGAATTGGTTGAGATAAAAAAAGGTAGTGTCACGAGCGAGATTCGAACCCACGACCTTCGGCTAAATATGCCACTGCTCTACCACATGAACTCGAATTTTACCTCCTTTTTGCCATTTTTCAAAAGTCACGATAGCTCAAGTGGTGAGTTTCTCTGACGCATGGGTGATACGGAAACCAGAAAAAATTAAAATTAAAATTAAAAATAATTAATCGAAATAAATTACTTTGTCAATCGGACCACGAAATCTAATGGATATATATTGTTCTTGTTGGTGTTATTATCCTTATTATCATTATTGTTGTTAGTGTGCTTCGTTAACATTATTATTTTCAAATTTAAATAAATAATATAAATAAATAAAAATTGTCTGTAACGAGCAGAAGGCGTGGTAACGGGCTGCGGGCGAGTCTTTGGGTGCCACCAAATCCCTTAGGGCAACTAGGGGCTCGGGATCCGTGGCGAAAGTGGACATTTCCTAAAACGCTATAAGTGGTTTTATGTAAATTCTCCTAATAGACTGGATAAAAGTGAGTACGTTCTCCAGAACTCAAAAATTAACATATAGTAGCGCGAAAGTACCGCGGAGGGTGGGCTCGCGTATGGCTGATGCTCTGTATGCAAGTTGGTAGGCTGTATTTCGCACAGTATACAAGTCTAATTACACTATTCAATGCACATTAGTTTTCTCTATTTAAATTGGACAACCTACTTAATACCACAGGTCTTATCAAACGCATATATTTTCAATTTAAAAATGTTCTAAGTACAATGTCCATGCGTTTACAATCCGTCGTATTTAAATTTTAATATTGTATATGTTCGTTGTTCACTTCATAGCTTTGAACATTTTGTTTTTCTTATTTACTAAACCAATGTATCTTATCTGAAACAATCTCAGTACCAGTAAGCCAACCCCAATCGTACTGAATTCTTTCTTGTCAATATCAAGTTGCTTTCATTTGTATACGGGTTGCTTGTGATTGACCTGGTTGACGTTTTATATAATTTTATAAAACCAAATCGATGTATTTACTTGTTGGTGCACTTTTGTGAATGATAAGATAAATATAATTAAATTGCACACAAATGAATAAACTTGTTTAACAGTAACTTAATTGATTTTTCTGTAAACAAAACGTTTCCGAAATAAGATGACCTAAAAAAACATTAAAAATCAATTTTTAACCACGACTAAAAAGTATACTATGTTTGCCTTTAATAAGAATAATCGACCGTATTCTAATTCTTGGTAAAGCTTTGAAAACGATAAATTTACATTATTATTTGTCCCCTTGCACTTATTATTCCATAATTTATGAATGAGATTAAACTGACGACGTAAAATGGGTTTAGGTGGGGTTTTTGTATGTTAAAACATATCTGTCACCATTAATTTTAAACGAAATACGATTCACAAAAACAACGTTACGACAGCATGAATTTACATTTAAATTTCGATATTGCTGATTTTTATTTATATACGATGTGTTAGGAACGTTTAGGTCTATCAGTTAAACAATTAAACGATTTTCCGAAATTTGGTTTCAGTCTCATGATGTTTATTTGTGAATATATATTGTTATCCACTATGTACGTAATTGAAAATTTGTTTACTTTGATATTGATTCTACAAAAATGCTTGCGTGAATTATTCCTATAACTTGATTAGAAGGAGCCCAGTACATTCGTAAATTAGATTAAAACAAACAGACGTTTATCTATAACTGATTACTTGCTTATATGTAAATAACTACATTTCTGCACAAGCATGTATATACATAAATGCGAGGATCGCGTCCTAATCCAGGTTTTGGCAATCTGTGGTCAATCCTGGTACGCATTCTACTGTAATCGGCCCAAAAGTATTCAATGATCAACGTTTTTAACTCGTGTTCTCACGCATTCTTTTCATTCACTCAAGTAGGATTGCGGAATACGCCATATTCCTCCATCCCTCTTTACCATTGCTAATGCCGATTGAGGGTCGATATGGTACTCAATAATTAGCCATCAACCCTTTTCATTCAATCCTAAAACATGAAAGAAGAAACACAAAACAAGAAATCTACGAAGAAACAACTAGATACAACAAACAGTCCTAATTCAAAGACTCGCTGCCATGCTTAAGCACAAATCTCATACCGGGTGGGATTCCTGCACGCTCTCTGTATGGAGCCAAAGAAAGACGCCCTATGATTAGAGGTGATATCAAGCAATCTTCATCTAAATGACAGACACAGACTATTTTGGGTCAAAATAAATTCACATGTCCAGTTCTTAATTATGTGATGATACTTCTTCTCTTACAGATTCTCCGCGTACGAGATCATGCAAAATTTAACATAGAATAATAACAATAAAAAGTATCGTAATAAAAATCTAGTCTCAAAATAATTTGTAATACAAATACCAATGTGAATACTCGGTGTAAAATTATCAAGAAAATACCAAAACATTCTAAATATTTAAATAATTGGATGAACCTACCCTGAGAACTAACTGAATTTCCATTAAGTCCACTTTTCGTTCTTGTGCACAGAATCAACATAATTAACGAACACTGAATAAATCAGACAGATTTCCTCCGTTTGCTTTACAAAATCCTTGGAATCAATGTACCAGTTTCGCTGAGTCGGCCTCACCGACATTTAATTGGAAAGGGAGTAATTTCATTTTCTTCCGGAACGGTATACAAAATGGGTTTCATTCCGACGGTCGAAAGCATGACGTTTAATTGCCTCATTGCAGTTGAGCGATACTTCAAAATCTCGTACTTTATTAAAACAAAATTAATTAAAACGGCCCACACAAATTCATCTAACATTAGTTCAATTAATTGGTTTCCAAACGACAAAAAACACGCAATTA